ACGTACCCACCCACCCACCTACTCACTTACCGCCCACTCAACCAGCCCCTTTCCGACGAGAAGTGCCGAGTGCGGCAGGTTTTCCGCTACCTTGAGTAGGACTCGAGGGTAAGTAAGTTTCCGCCGCCGCTCGCCTCGGCTGCGCGTGGCGCATGCCCCGGCCCGGCCCGCCCCACCGCGGCAGTACTCGGTTAACGCGCAACGCAAGCACGGCCGGGAGGTAATTACATGCAAGATTAATCCAATCAGCGGCGGCGGCACGCTCGGCTCTGCTCGGCTCGGCTCGGCTCTGCTCGGCTCGGCCCACGTCATGAGGCGCCGCGCCCCACCACGCACTCAGCCCGACAGAAGGGCGCCGCGGCGGCGGATGTGTCGGACCACTACCACTACTTGCAAGAAGTAGTTTTTATCGTCCGGCTCGAGAAGAGAAGACTCACACTGGGCGTCGCGCGGGCGCTCGCACAGGAAGTGGTTGCGCGTGCTGCAGTCGCGGTCGTTCCAGCGGAAGGACGAGTCGAGCGGCAGCAGCGCGGCGGCCTGCGCGGCGGGCGCGGCGTTGGGCGGCGGCAGCAGGAACGCCCGCCGCAGCTCCACGCAGTCCTGCGCCGAGAAGCCGTCGTCGTTCGGCTGCCGGTTGTAGCCGCCGTGCTGCGTCCACCCGGGGAACCAGTCTAAAGCGAAAAGGAAAACGACGTCATGTTTAGTGTTTTCCTTTCTTGGAAAAAACAGGGGACACAAATGTTTGTCCTTGTTTGAGGCGGCCGTCATCCTCTTGGTCGTGGCCGTATATCACACCAAAAACCGACCACAATAAAAAAACAAAACAAATATAACTTAGTTCAAGGCAGGTAATCCTCACAGTATTATCTCACGGAATAAAATAAGACACTGTAAAAGCCTTTCTTCAAATATACATATATTAAGAAGAGAAAGAAGAAAATAATATTGAAAAAGTAAAGTAAACGTGATATCTATTTCTGTCATCTGACATGCGGCTGGCTGGCTACCCTCCTCGTGGTTCCTCTCTTCTTTCGCGCTCTCTCTCTCACTCACTCGTGTACGAGAAGGGCAGCGAGTCCGTCCAGCGGAAGTCGCCCTCGTTGGTGACGTCGGACGCGCCCACCCAGTATGAGTTGTGGTCCGAGTATCCGGGGCTGCAACAAACAAACACACAACATGTTGTCTCCGACAGGCCAAAGAGGGAGTGATCGAGTGCCGTGCTGGGGGAAGGGGGTGGGCGGAGGCACAAAGACCGTTTCCAATGAGGGGGAAAACTCCCAAAAATATTTACAATGAGGTCAGATAGGTGTGTGATGAGGTGTGAGGGAAAAAGAGGGGAGTGGGGGGTGGGTGGGTACGGAAATAGCTTCGTCCCCAATCGACCTGACGCGTCCAAAACAGCAGCAAGCCCCACAAATGCCTAGTGTTCCGATGTGGTTGTTCTCTCCGCACCGCACCGCCACATGGCTCGACGTGTGTAAGTGGGCCCTCTGGCCGTCCGCGGGCTCGGATAGCGGTAATGAGGGAAAAAGATTGTCCGCTACCTGTTGACGCTGCGCACCCGCGCACCGCACGCGGGCACGCTCATGGAGGCCACCGCCACCGCCCCACCCGGGGCACCTGTGGGGTTCACCGCTGAATTTACTACCGCTTACATTGAAGGGCAGTACCGAACGAGCTTTGGGCAGGCGAGCTGCGCGAGGTGGGATGGCGGGGAGGGTCGGGACGGGGCCGGGGTTGAG